ACGGTGTGTGGGGACACGATGCCAACGTGTTCATCGCCCACATGGCTCATGCGCTGTTGGAGAAGGAGGGGTGGAAGGGTCGGGGGTTCAGTCATGTGTCTGGATGGATTCGCTCTCACTTGTCTATCGCCCTCGCGCGTGCGACTAGCTTCTGTCTGCGTGGGGGAGGGAGGGGAGGGTTTGCGGGACTGGGGTGTGCTGATGGGGCGGGGATTGATCCCTCCTCCCCTTGAGCCTGTTTGACTCTGCGTGCTGATGGGACTGTATTTGTATGAGTATCACGGACACACAGACGAGTGTTACGGTTAATGACAGTTTCTCCCCCCTTCACGCCAATCGCACACTGCAGAACAACAAAGGAAGCCATGATTTTTTGACAGGGCAAATGACCGCAAGCGAAACCAAAATGGACAGCACCCATGGAATGCATTGCGTGTTGGCTCCATGCAGCATTAATTGTGTGACCGCTCGAGGCATGAGTCACGAGGGGCGCTTGCATGCACCATCGAGCCTCACCTACCGGTCAGAGCAGTGCAGACGAGGAGAAGGTAGCCGACACGAGCAGTGAACGACCCGATACCGACGATGAAGTCACCCGTGCAGAAATTACCACGGCGTCCACGGGAGGGATGATGGGCACCAATATCGCTCATTGGGGGCACTTTGATCTCGCACGCGTCATGTCCTCCCTCGTCTATCGCATGATGCGCCTGCCTGCCATCATCATCGCCTTCACATGCCTTCCCCGGCTGGTCCGCACGCAGTGCACAAACAACCTCACACCTGCAATCTGCAGTGGGCGTCGTCGTGTGTGCGTGTGGTTTGTGTGCAGGTGTTGTGTCAGGACGAGGGCAGTCCCCACTGGAGCATGTACTTCGACCCCGACCGGCCCTACGAGATGGTCGTGTCCACCTCTGAAATGCTCGACGCCATCTCAAAATCCGTCAACGACTTCTCCGTCCGATTCACTGACGCCGACCTCCGCTTCGGCTTCCACTACAAAGTGCCCAATTGCACCGCCGAGGAGTCCATATGTGTCTACCTCTTCCCGACATTCGGTGCCGAGAAGCCCCCCTTCGTGGCATTCGCTCTGCAGGACGAAGACAGCCTCTGCTTCGACTGGCAAAACATGACCGCCGCCATGAGAGAGGCCGACCAGCAGTTCTCGGCCGCCGGGCAGCCTGGCGCCTTCACCAAGATCACCAACGACGAGGCGACCTTTCAGGGGCTGAGGATCCAGGGGGCGGCGAGAGTGGAGCTCTATCGCAGCGAGAACTGCAAGAAGACCAAGACGCTCTCCGGCGTGAGCTTCCTGGAGGTGTCTTCGGAGGTCCGGAGGATGGGTGCGGCGGAAAAACGAGACAACATGAACACTAAGAGCGATGAGGAACTGGACGAGGCAGAGGAGAGGCAGACGACGACGAACAGCCTGAAGGTGAGCCGGCTGCTGGCCCTGCCGCTGCTGGTGGGGGAGAGACTGCGGCCAACGCCACTGACGAGGGTGACAGTGAGAATGTCACGGCGATCGCGGAGGGTGAGCACCCTGATAAGGACGAAACAGTGGGCGGTAATGTCGTGGGCGAGTACTGGTGGGTGCTGGCCAACCAGCAGGAGGACGCACTCAAGGTCGACCAGATGGTGTCGTCGCTCACATGGACGTCAGACACTCCCCCTGTCGGCTACCCCAAGACCTTTCTCTGTGCGCAGCAGCCCTACCCACCCCCCGCAGATGCTGAGTACATGTATGTGCCGCACATTACACGAACGAACAACGAATCACATCACATACCCAATCTGGGCCACTGGTGTCTCGGTGCCTGTGATGTCTCTGTGTGTGCAGTGCTGCGGTGAATGAACTGATGGAGGCCAAGGTGCTGCCCCTGCAGAAGATGTTTGAGGGCATGCCCCCCCAGTCCGTCAACGCCAAGAAGGTCGAAATCGGCCGCCACCTCTTCATCGGCCCCCCACTCACGGGATTCGTCGGCGACGTCCAATTCCGCGACTACTTCACCCAGCTCCTCAACCGCACCTCGGCGCCCCCAGAGCAGCTGTCGCGGCGACTGGAGGTTCTGGAAGAGGTGGCGCTGAAGGACGAGAATAAGCCCAAGGACTGCTCCTACACGCCGTTCCTCGGCAAGGCCAACGACTGCATCCTCTTCTGTCAGCCGGGGGCGCAGGGGGTCAAGTCCATGAGAATCATAAGGGCGGCCAGTACTTCATAAGGAGGAGTGATATATGATTGATGAGTGGCTGAGTGAGTGGCTGATAGGACAGGTGCAGTGCACTGCAGTGTGGCTGAGGACTGTTGCTCCTCGTGAGGCCTGCTGTTCGTCATTCGGTGATTTCATTGCAAGTGTGGTTTCTGTCTATGTCTTGGCCTTGCTTTACTGACCCTTACGCCATAATCGTATTGAACATGGCCGGGGCTGCAGAGCTCGGTTTAAAGGGTTGCGCGAGCTTAGCAGCGATAAGCCTAACGATGAGTCGTTCCTCTTGCATTGTCCGCCAGGCGGCATCCACGATCTCTCGCCTCTCCCTGGAAGGCATTCCGCCCTCACTCTACAGCGAACGACTCATCGAGCGGCTCACATCAGTCCAGCCGTCAGATCTATCCCTCCTCGCCGCAGAGATCCGACAGACCAGCAGCAACAGTGGAGCTGATGCATTCCTCTGGCGCGCCCTCGCCGCCCACTCTGCTGCCAGGATGGGCGAGATGGAGCCGAGCACAGCGGCCTTTCTGACCAACACGTTTGTGCGGACGCCTGACGACCGCTTCCGCACGTCAGAGGAGCTCAAGGGGTGGCTCAGGGCGGTGGCTGACATGCTCACGAAGCACATGGAAAGAGGCAGTGGTGGTGCAGCACCGAGCGGGCGCGATGTGGCGATCGTTGCGAATGCGCTGGTGCGGCTGCCCTTGGCCTTGTCTGAGGAACAGTGGCTCCGGCGCTTCTTCCGCCAACTGAGTCAGCATTCCTCGGCTCCTGATGGTATCGCTGCTGACGGGGTGGATGGCCCTGCCGTGGCGATGCTGACCAACGCCATGGCCAGATGCGGAGCTGTCGGCCGAGAGGACGCCCTCCCGGCCTTCCAGCGTTTCTCTGCCGCCCTGCAGCGACCACGGCCCAACCTGATGGCCGCGCTGGAGCTTCGCAGCGTCGCCGCCATTGCCAACGCGTACGCCCATTTTCACATCGTCGACGGGCCGCTCTTCCGCCTGCTGTCTGACAAGGCGCGAGGGCTGCTTGCGAAGAGGGGAAGTGAGTCTGGCGGTGAAGATGATTCGGCCGAGAGTGAGTCTGTGAGCATCGGAGCGGGTGGCGGCACGTCGTGTGTCGAGCTGGGCATGCTGGTGAATGCCTGGGCGCGTGTGGATTTGCGTGACGAGGGGCTGGTGCGTGAGGTGATGGGTGCGATGGTGAGTAGGGGACTGGTGCATGTGGGCAGCGGCACGATTGCCACTGTACTCAATGGACTGGCGAAAGTCGCCGTCAAGGATGAAGGTAAGCGGAGCGACAAACACACAACACATACACACACACACACCCCAATTGCAAGGAGGGGCCGGTATCCTCGAGCCTGTTGTGTTGTGTCTGTAGGTTTCCTCTCTGCTGTGTCGAGCCTCCTGCAGGAGCGTCTTGCTGCCCGCACGGCCGCATACGCTCCATCAGGCTCAGCACCGGGTGACAGCAACGATCCGGCTGACGTTGCCGCGCCCCTCACTGCTCGTGATGTGGCCAACGCGACGGACGCATTCGCAAGGTGATTGATGACGGCAGACAGACAAGGGCGAAATCGTGTGTGTCTTTTGCGGCTGGCTGGCCACGTGTGCGGTGCGATCAGGTTGGGGTATCATGATCCGACTTATCTCCATTTCGTGGCTGCATGGCTGCATGCTGCTCTCGAGGAACTACAGCCAATGTAATGTGTGTGAGCGATGAATGCAGACACGCACACACGTCAGACAGAACTCTGCATTGATGTTACTTACTGTGTCGATGGTCGATGTGTGTCATCCCATCCATCCATCGGTGGTTGTGTTGTGCTGTCTGTGCAGGGATGTGGTGGCGTTGGCGTCATCCTTTGCACGTCTTCGGTTTCGCGACCAGCCGGCCTTCCATGTGCTCGCGGCAGCACTCAAGGCAAACATTGCGTAAGCCGCTATAGCACACCCACGGATGCTATACTCCCCTCCCCTGTCCCCTGTCCCCCTTGTCAGCGACTTCTCTCTGCCCCAGCTGGCGGCCATCCTCACTGCGTAAGCAAGCTGTGTCACCAAACAAAACCCGACGCAACATGAAAACAGCAGCACACAAGCAGCACACACCATGCACTCGCTGCACTGCACGCTGGTCGGTCGGTCTCCTTCCCATCTCATCTGCATCTGCAGGTACGCCCGTCTGCGCATCAGCGACACCCGCACCCTCACCTCCATCGCACACCACATCTACACAGCCATCACACCACAACGCCCTGGCATCTCCCCGCGGCACCGACGACTGGCAGCGCGGGCATCGCGCCAGCCGCAGACAAGAGCAGCAGCAGCAGCAGCACCGTCCAATGAGAGCGACCCAGATGAGCCGGCAGATGCAACGGATGTGTGTGCGATGGTGTCGATACTGTCGGGTTTTGGCCGGCTGGACGTGTCGCATCCTGAGTTCTTCGACGCGGCTGGGGGGTGGCTGGTGCGGCAGGGCGTCGACAGCATTGGCACCAGCGACCTCAGAGAGATCGTGGTCAGTCAGTAGACAGAGGTACACACATTGCCTCTCCCCTGTGTGTGTGTGTGTGTGTGTGTTCAGCTGTCATACTCCCGAGCCAATCGGTTCCATGCAGAGCTGCTCGACGCCATCTCAGCCACACTGGCCGCCCGCCTGAGCACCGCCCCCCCTTTCCCCTCCCCCTCCCCCTCCCCCTCCCCTCTCTCCCCCTCC